TCGCCAAAGGTAAAGTGCCATGATTAGCCATGTCCTGGAGCTCTGCTAAACCAAAAGTCACCACACGAACATCACTGCCTTCGAGATGCTAAACTCCCACCCCCGGTGGCAATTGAACATAACAGTGGCAAATCACCTGTTTACTGTCATCTATATCATGTGTGTATTGTTGCACCAATCAAAAGATTGTATCTTTTATTTCCACTTTCCAATATATTTAACAATATTTAATAGCATCTATTTACTTACTTATCTTCTCATTTATTTAGCTATGCTATGCTACGCTTACTGTAGGCTCACTTCATCCAGGTGGCACAAGAAAATTCCTGGCTGAAGAAAGCCGGGCTCGAAGTCTCCGGGCCCCAAGCCTCGACTCTCCAGCAGGGGGACCCCAAAAAGTGTGGGGGAAGTCGTGTAAAATCATTTCGTTGGATCTCAGTACGAATATGTTTCAAAGAAAGGAACTCGCACGTCCTCTTCACAAGGATTCACAGAATCTCTGTACAAGGATCCTGTTCAGGGGAACATACAGGATCTACATGTCGGGAAACACCCAAAAACTGACATCGCGGGATCCTAATATAGAACAACATAGAAAAACAGCCTTTCTTAGGTCTCTCTCTCTCTCTCTTTTTTCTTCATGTTCCATCAACATTAAAAACACAGTTTTGGGCATCAAAGTACGAGGCCGCTCCCCTGCAGAAAAAAATGCAATTATGGGTGCCCCATGTTTGCAAACAATGTTTCATTCAACTACCTGACTATTTTGGGGCTAGTACTGTTATGTACAGTACCATTTGCAAATTAAGTCAGTTTGTGTCACCCCAATTCTTTGGTGTCATCCAAGAATCGCATCCCAACAAGGCCCAGCTCCCGGCTCGCCTAGAAAGCTGTTGATTTGGTCGATGAGCTCGGCCTGGTTGTGACATGGCTGACACGGCTCAGAATTGGGATGTCGTTCGTGGACCCAGCAAATTTGTCACGGTTTGTTTATATAATCTGTTGAATCTGTTGACTTCTATTGAGGGCCAATGTTTTTGAGTCATGCCGCCATAACCAGATCCATAACTCACCTTACCATACTCCATACCATTGGCATCTTGAAATATCTGGGCACCATCTTCTTGCCTCACCTGCGGCGTGGATAAAATCAGGGCGCCATCGCTCTGACAAACGCGCGTAACCAGGCTGGTTTCCGAGAGGTCCATATATCTCCAGTCGTGTGCTATGCTGACCCTCCACCTCCGCGCATTTTCCCTTTCCTCCTCCACCTGTACTCCAGCGTCCGCAAAGTTGTCGGACAGCAGAATACTTGAAAACATGGCCTGCATACCCAGGTTCACTATAAAGAGCAGCATTGCGAAAATACTATCCCACAATGGAAATCTTCGAAAGTCCAAGACCAAGGGAAGGCTCCAAACACTTTCACCAAACTGGATCTGGTCCTTGGCTGCCAAAAGATACAAAAGAGCAATATGATTCTGGCCGCCATCATCATCATCATCATCATCATCGTCATCATCGTCATCGTCATCGTCATCACCACCATGCAAAAACACGCTGGCAAACCGTTGCAACCATGAAAACTGTGACTGAAGAGCGCCAAGTATCGGACGTCTGCTCTGGCAGCTCCGCATCCTCAACGAACTTTTGGCCCCCATTTATTCAATTTTGTTTCCTGTCTTTCTGGCTGGCCGTGTCAACTGCCAAAAATATCCAAAAATGTTTAATTACTTTAATTTTAATCACTGGCAATCAGTATCCAGTATCCAAAACCGCCAATTTATTCCCCAACCGGGCCCAGCACTAGAGACAAGGTTTTGGCATCGTAGATGGTACCGGCACTTGGTTTTTTGAGGATTGCCCCAGCAAGCAGTCCTCCCCCGGGGCATCAGACACCTCACCCTCGTCGCCCACAATCGCTTCGCAAATTCTCAAAGCGTGGGGCTGAGAGTTGCCGAGCACCGTTGTGTCAGGCAAGCTTGTCTCAGGCACCGGCACCTGCAAATCAATCACATTCACCCGAAGTCTTCGCCCAAATCACACATCGCAAAAATAGTCCTCGTAATCCCCATTTTCGCCTTGCTGATATCCCCCAAACTATGAGTCCAAAGGTTGTCACTACTGAATCGCCAAAAAAAACATATTTACTCCCAAAGAACTTAAAATCAAACTATATATATATATCTGTGTGCGTATACCAGTAATACCACACAAGGCGGTGGCGGAAGTTTCAAAAATAGGAAACCTATAGGAGAGGTTGATTGTTGTGAATCACGGATGGCAGAGCGAATCCACTGATGGACTAAAAGGCGGTTGGGGTTGTGTTTCTTGGAGTGGATACAATGGTTGCAGTGGTCACCTGGTCGGTCACCTCACCCACAACTGCTGGATGTAGTGTGGTGTAGCGCAGCTGTAGCTGTAATTGTAGTGCTGTGGAGCTGTAGCTGTGGTGACGTGTAATTAACGCAATGTAGTTGCAGTTGCATTTGTGGTGGTTTAATGAATGTAGCGTAGTGTAATGTAATGTATGGTAGTGTAGCGTTGTGTACTGTAGTGTAGCGTAGCGTAGTGTAGTGTAACGAAGCATAGTTGCAGTTGTAGCTGTAGTTGTAGTTAGCGTAATGCAGTGCAGTGTAGTGTGGTGTGGTGTAGCGTGGTGTAGTGCTGTGTAGTGTAGCGTAGTGTAATGTAATTAGTGCAGTGTAGTGTAGCGTAGTGTAATGTACTGTACTGTAGCGTATTGTAGTGTAGTGCGGTGTAGTGTAGCGTAGTGTAGTGTAGTGTGGTGTGGTGTAGTGTAGTGTAGTGTAGGGTACTGCAGTGTAGTGTAGCGTACTGTAGTGTAGTGTAGTGCAGTGTAGTGTAGTGTCGTGTAATGTAATGCAGCGCAGTGCAGCGCAGTGCAGTGCAGTGCAGTGTAGTGTAGCATTCTGTCGTGTAATGTAGAATCCTGTAGTGTAGCGCAGCTGTAGTTGTAGCTGTAGCTGTAGCTGTAGTTGTAGCTGAACTTCTAGCTGTAGTTGTAGGCGCAGTGTAGTGTAGCGTAGTGTAGTGTAATTGAGTGTGGTGTAGTGGAGTGTAGTGTAGTGTAGCGTAATGTAGTGTAGTTGTAGTTGTAGTGTGGTGTAGTGTGGTGTAGTGTGGTGTAGTGTAATTGAGTGTAATGTAGTGTAGTGAAGTAAAGTGGAATGATGTGCAGTGTAGTCTAAATAGCGTAGGGTAGCGTAGTGTAGTTGTAGTTGTAGCTGCGCTTAGTGCAGTGTAGTGTCGTGTACTGTAGTGTACTGTAGTGTACTGTAGCGTACTGGAGTGTACTGGAGCGTACTGTAGCGTAGTGAAGTCTAGTGTAATGTAGAGTAGTGTAGGGTGGTGTTATGTATTGTAGTTGTGGCTGTAGCTGTAGCTGTAGTCTAGTGTAGTGTAATGTAGTGTAGTGTAGTGTAATGTAGTGTAGCGTAGTGTAGTGGAGTGTAGTTTAGTGTAGTGTAGTTTAGTGTAGTGTAGTTAGTGTAGTGTGGCGTAATGTAGGGTACCCGCATCACGTTGGGCAACACCAAACGCATCACTTCAGGCAACACCCAAAAATCACAGACTCCTCACACTTTGGACGCTCACTTTGGGCAACACGGAAAACATCACTTTGGGCAACACGGAAAACATCATTCTTCTTATCTAATTACTTGACTTAGCCATTTAGGGTTTGTTTCGGGGGTGGGAAGGAACCATTCTTCTTGTAGAATTACTTGGCTGAGCCATTTAGGGTTTGGTTGGGCGGGTAGGGAAAAATCATTCTTCTTATATAAGTACTTGACTCGGCAATTTCGGGCTTCGTTGGGGGGATGGGGAGGGATCATTCTTCTTATCTAATTACTTGACTCAGCCAGTGAGGGTCTGGTTTGGGGGGGTGGGGAGGGATCTTTCTTCTTATAATCATCCTCGTTCTATAAGTACTTGACTCAGCCATTTAGGGTTTGGTTGGGGGGCTGGGGAGGGTTTTTTTCTACTTACTTCATTACTTGATTCAGCCATTTAGGGCTTGGTTTGGGGGTGGGGAGGGATCATTCTACTTGCATCATTACTTGACTCAGCTATTTAGGGTTTGGTTGGGGGGTGGGGAGGCATCATTCTTCTTATCTTATTACTGATGATGATGGTGATGATGATGATGATGATGAGGAGGAGGAGGTATCCCGAAGCGATGCATGAGGCGTAGCCCGAAGCGATGCACTCGACGTATCCCGAAACGAGAGACTTACGCTATCATTGAGTGTAGTGTAGCGTAGTGGAGTGTACTGTAGTGTAGTGGAGTGTAGTGTGGTGTGGTGTAATGAGTGTAGCGTAGCGTAATGTAATGTAATGATATGTAATGTAGTTATAGTTGCAGTTGCAGTTGTAGTTGTAGTGTAATTGGCTGTAGTGTAGTGTAGTTGAAGTGAAGCGGAGTGAAGTGGAGTGTAGTGTAGTGTAATTAGTGTAGTGTAGCTGTAGTGTAGCTGTAGTGTAGCTGTAGTGTAGCTGTAGTTGTAGTTGTAGCCGTAGTTGTAGTTAGGGTAGTGTAGTGTGGTGTGGTGTGGTGTAGTTTAATGTAATACAAATAGTGTAGTGTAATCCAAGTAGTGGGGCGTAAAGTAATGTAGTGTAGTTGTAGTTCTAGTTGTAGTTGTAGTTGTCGGAGTGGTGTAGTGTGGTGGAGTGGAGTGTAATGTAATGTAGTGTAGTGGCTGTTGTAGCTGAAACTGCTACAAAACCCTCCCGTTTTGCTTATTTTTGACCACGTGCACAATCCCTTGTGCCTGCCACGCAAAAGGACATCTGAACGTCCAAAAGTGCTCTGTACCCCTCAGATTTTTGTACATTTTGACTTCGAAATGTGCTTCGCGCCAGGACGGCGTGCATTCTTTCGACGTCTCAACTTCCAAAAGTGGTCCGAACATGGTGTGCTTTGTGCGTTTTTACTTTGAAATGTGCTTCGCGCCACAACGGCGTGCAACTTTTCATCTCTCATCTAACCACATGGCTCCGCACCCGCCGCTTTAGCGAGCCTACTTTTCGACCCTCGGAGCCACAAATCCTTGGAAAAACATAGTGTTTCGCGACTTTGCTACCTTTTCGCGCATCTGCATCTTCTTTCTTCTGACTCTTTCTCTTCTCTGATCTTCTCTCTTCTACTCTTCTCTTCTCTCTGACTCTTCCCATCTCTGCTTTTCATCTGTCCATATTGTCGGGAGTTTGACTTCTAAACTTCCTTCGATTAGAAGCATTTAGAAATCACATTCTCATATTCAGTGAGTTCAGTGGCTCAGTCGTTACATCTGTTGCAGAGCCACTGGTCGGAGCTGCATCTCCAGTTGCTCCATCCGCTTCTCAAGGCGCCGGATGGCCTTTGAGATGCGGTTCACCATACTGGGGGATGTACCGCGTGAAAATATGTGATTCCTACTCCTCACACGCACATATATATATATTATATATATACATACGAATATATATATATATGTGTGTGTGTCATTAATTTTACGCATATATTGATATGTATATGTATATGTAAATATATATATATGGGATTATATGGATGTGTGTGTGTGTGAATGTATGCAACAACCTCACATACATCTATAGACTATAGGCAAATTCTATATATATATATACATACATATTTAATATTATTTAATTATATATATATGGATTGCGTCATATTATATGTGGATATTGTAGTTGTCGTTGTCGTTGTTTGTTGCTGCTGTTGCTGCTGCTGTTGTTATATAATTCAGCATACGTACAGAGTATGAAGTGACTTTTTGCATTAAAAGTCATTGGGTGATCCATTTTCCGGGTCCAATGATCTTTTGAGACCCAAGGAACTTGGAAAAACTCGAAGTCTGCTGACTTCAGCCTAGTGGTTCCAAGCAAAGAGGTGTAGACCCCCTAGTGGCCCTAGTCAATCCTCAGGCATGCTCTTTTCGGTCCATCCGAATCTATCAAAAGTGTTGCAGGGATGCTCTCTACTTTCAGGTGTACCAAGTCCTCATACCTGCGGCAAAGAGAACTTCCCATTTTGAGCCCTGTAAACCTGAGCTTGAGATAGATACGTAGGCCCAATTGAGAATCTATGGGGTCTCAAGTTTTTCTCTTCGATATGCAGGAGGGTGTTGTACCTACAAATCTTACAATCACCTATGCACGAAAGCCCTGTCGATATACGGATAAGACATGTGCCGCGGACAGAAGGGTCTTGAGATGAGGGCGCACAAACTCCACACCACACACAGCAAGGCCAGTGAAAAACGATCAAAGGAAAGCAGAAAGCTGTCACCTTCCTTTCATCCATCTGGCTAAATTGAAGTGTTGAGGTAGTTACCGATAGTCTACAACCCTGCAAAGAGATACAAAGAGATACAAAGAGGTCCTTGTCGCGTGCGCTGCAATTGCAAGCATCAAGTGGTTTCAACCCCAGGCAAGTTGCAGCATCAAACTCTGCGCGGGCAACAGGATCCTCCACCACCAGGATGGGCTCTGCTGCTGCTTCCACCATGGAAGGATGTGGCGCAACGCAGCAAAACTCCATGGCCACTGGAGGTCTTGTGTCTGCAGGCACTTGATGACTTACAATGGTCAAGTCTGAACGGGAAAGTAAGGGCCTTAGAATCTTACGTTTCACCAATTCTTAGCTTTACTGTGCGCACTGTATCTTGCAACCATCTTTTCCGCGAGAAAAGATTTTTGCTTTAAATTTTTGTTTGGCACAAAACTGGGTAAAATGTTATGGGGCGGGACTGCTGAACAGAACTGCGTTCAAGAGCAGCATTGACAAGCAAGTTTACAGGCAATGATTATCAGGATATGTTGCTATGCTTTGGGCACCGCATCATAGCATCAAGTAGGTTCTCCTACCTTGGCACTGTACAACTTACGCAGGGTTCCCACATGGTGTGATACATAAACTGCCTGGCACGTTCCAATAAGTTCCCTGTCATCATCATCCGTCAGGAGCAGGAACACATTAGAGAAATACCATGTATGTATGTATGTATGTATGTATGTATGCATGCATCTATGCATAATGCATCTATCTATCTATCTATCTGTCTGTCTGTCTGTCTGTCTGTCTATCTGTCTGTCTGTCTGTCTGCCTGTCTGTGTCTGTCTGTGTCTGTCTGTGTCTGCCTGTGTCTGCCTGTGTCTGTCTGTGTCTGCCTGTGTCTGTCTGTCTCTGTCTGTCTCTGTCTGTCTCTGTCTGTCTCTGCCTGTCTCTGTCTGTCTCTGTCTGTCTACCTGTCTGCCTGCCTGTCTGTGTCTGTCTGTGTCTGTCTGTGTCTGCCTGTGTCTGCCTGTGTCTGTCTGTGTCTGCCTGTGTCTGTCTGTCTCTGTCTGTCTCTGTCTGTCTCTGTCTGTCTCTGTCTGTCTCTGTCCGTCTCTGTCTGTCTCTGTCTGTCTCTGTCTGTCTCTGTCTGTCTGTGTCTGCCTGCGTCTGTCTGAGTCTGTCCAGGGAAGGGGGCCTGCCATCATATCCGGTGAAGTTGGCCGCGACTTTTCTTTCGTTTTAGGTCTTGGAAAAGCATGTTAGACTCTTGCACTTGGGGTCTGCCCCACGTATCAGTGAGGGTGGCTGAACTTAGGGTGCCGGGAGTGAGAAAAGAAGAGGCAAACTTTTGAACATGTTTGAACACTTTGCCTTTTCCTGCGCGCTCATGGAAGAATGTATTTTTGCAATGTTTGACTTTCTGCTTCAGGGAAGGGGTTCTGCCATCATATGCAGTGAAGTTGACCGGGACTTTCCGTTCGTTTTGGGTCTTGGAAAAGCATGTTAGACCCTTGCACTTGGGGTCTGCCCCATCACTGAGGGTGGCCGAACTTGGGGCAACGGGTAAGCTTGGGGCACCTGGACTTCAGAGCGAGAAAAGAAGAGGCAAACTCTTGAACATGTTTGAACACTTTGTCTTTTCTTGTGCGCTCATGGAAGAATGTTTTTTTTGCAATGTTTGACTTTTGAACATGGGACTTTGCTGTGCATCGTTGTTGTGTTTCTGCTTCAGGGAAGGGGGTCTGTCATCATATCTGGTGAAGTTGGCCGGGACTTTTCTTTCGCTTTGGGTCTTGGAAAAGCATGTTAGACCCTTGCACTTGGGGTCTGCCCCACTTATCACTTATCACTGGGGGTGGCCGAACTTGGGGCGCCAGGTAAGTTTGGGGCACCTGGATTTCAGAGTGAGAAGAGGCAAACTTTTGAACATGTTTGAACACTTTGTCTGGTCTCGTATGCTCATGAAAGTATGTATTTTGGCAATTTTTGGCATGTGACCTGCTTTGCGGTTTTGATGGGGTGTCTTAGCATGTTTATGCCTATGTTTGGGTGAGGGATCAAAAAAATATCTTTAAGGCATCCAAAAACAAAAAAAACTGGAATCCCTTGTTTTCTATGGACCTTGCAACAGTTTGGAGACAAAACCGAGCATTTCTGTGGTATTTGCATCGTTTTGGAAGTGGAGCCTCTCGCCCGGAAGGCTTTTGCAGGACATTGGACCTAGAAATCGAGCATTCGCAGGGCTTGACGCTGCCGTTTCGACAGCACATGCAACACTTTGGAGTTCGATTCGTTTATTTTCGATGGTTGCTTTAAGACTTACGTTGGTTTAAAGTTTGTTTATGTTTGGTTTAGTGTTGATTTAGGCTTGGTTTGATGCCTATTACTTTGACTTAGGTTGGTTTAGGGTTAGTTTAGGGTTGGCCTATGATTTACTAGGTGTCTATTCAGGGTTGGTAAAAGGTTTATTTAGGATTCGTCCAAATATTATCTAAAATTATTTAGAGTTTTTGGTGTTTATGTAGGGTTGGTTTAGGGTTTATTTTGATTTTGTTCAAGACTTTGTGGTTTAGGTTTTGTCTGGAATCTATTGAGGGCTGTTTGTTTGTTTACTTAGGGTTGGTTTAGGATTTGTTTAGGGTATATTTAGGGTTGGTTTTAGTGTTTGTTTAGGGTTGGTATTAAGGTTTGTGTAGGTGCTGCTCAAAGTTTATTTAGGGTTGATTCAGGATATATTTGGGATTGGTTCGTGGTTGGTTTAGGTGTTATTTAGGGTTGGTTCAGGGTTTCTTTAGGGTTGGCTTAGGGGTTATTTTGGGTTGGCTTAAAGTCTACGTAGGTCTTGTTTCCGGTGTCTTTAAGGTTGGTTTAGTGATTTATTTCTGGTTGGTTCAGGGTTGGTTTCGGATTTGTGCAGGGCTGGTTTGTGGTTCATTTGGGTTTGCTTGAGATTTATTTAGGGTTCATTTACGGTTGGCTTATGGTTGTTTAGGGGTGGCTTAGGGTTTATTTGGTGTTGGTTTTGGGATTATTTGCGATTGGTTCAAAGTTGATTTTGGTTTCGCTTACAACTTATTTAAGGTTCGTTTAGGTTTCGTTTAGGGTTTGTGTAAGATTCGTTTAGGGTTTATTTAGGGTTAGTTTAGGGCTGATTGAGGGTTGGTTTAGGATTCGTTTAAGACTTACTTTGGCTTGGGGGGTAGTTTAGGGGTTATTGAGGCTGATTTAGTTTTTTTTTGGTTGAATTAAGGATTATCTTCAAAATGTTTTAAGGCACCAGAGCCACCAAAGGACGGAAGGACCAAGGGACCAGAAGACCAGAGGACCAAGGGACCGGAGGACCAAGACCAGAGGACCAAGGGACCAGAGGACCAAAGGACCAAGGGACCAGGGGACCAAGGGATAGGACTGAAGGACCGGGAGATTCAAAGACCACAAGATTTGAAAATGGCATACATGGGCTAAAACACTGCACCAGCGCAGGAAAAATGAATATATCTTGTTTGATCCCTTAAATATTTTTCATTGATGCCTTAAATATTTATTTTTTGATGGCTTAAATATTTTTTGAACCCCATGCCACGTTTTTCGCTCGAAACGAAAATAAACATCTTGCCAACCTTTCGCCGCACTTTTGCGACTGCAGAAAATAGATGCGCATATCATCAGTTGTCACTTGGATACTCAAACTCTTACATGAATTGTTAGTCGACTCCCGGATAATTGGAAACAATTGTCCTGCACTTTTTCCCATTCATACAAGGTTGCACTAGGTTCCCCATGTCGGATATCTAGCATAAAGTTCCCTAAGGCATAATGGTAAAGGTTTAAAATGAAAAACCAACCCTTATAATCTATACATCATAACTCTAAGGGTCTACAATGATAAGGTCTCAAAGGTCTACAATGTTTTTGTGAACCAGGTAAGGCCCTGGGCCCCCGAACCCTGGAGGTCTACCCATGCCAGACCCCAAGTAGTTGGGGGCATAAAATATATACATATATATATATATATGTGTGTGTGTGTATTTTTAAAAAATAATTAATTTTTACAAATAAACAAATACATAAATTTAAAAAAAAAACAAATAAATATATGTGTGTGTGTGCGTGTGTGCGTGTATGTGTATATGTATATATACACATATGTATGCCCATATATATTATCTAGTTCGAGAGCAATGCTCTGGAGAAGGGTACGGTGATCAAAAATCAAGGTACGGGAAGGCGGTGCGCGATGATTGTACGGCAAGTACGATATCAGAGGTACGGTGGTACAGTACACTGGGTACGGGGGTATGGCGGGTACGGTCCTCTGTGCCCTGCTGCTACAGCGGCAGATTCTGCTGCTATAGCGGCAATTGTACCCCCCGGACCCACCCATCCTACCCCCCCACCGTGCCGTGCGCACCGCACCCCCCATACCGCACCCACCGTACCCCGCGCACCGCACCCCACCGTACCGCCCGTACTGCACCCACCGTACCCCCCGTACTGTACCCACCATACCCACCATACCGTAACCCTTAAAAACCTGGACTGCACCCTCGCGCGCTGAACCCCCAGAAAATAAACTTGTTTTCATTGCGCTTGAAACTTGATAAATTATATTTAAATGCGTATGTACATATATAATATGCGTGCGTGTGTGTCTGTGTGTGTGCAATGTGTGCAATATATGTGCTGCAATGATGAATATCAAGTAGAAAACGTCGGATACTGCATGAAAGCTTCAAAAATGAAACCGCAAAGCTAATGAGAATGGACACCTTTGCTTGGGCACATGGCACATTGCTTCTCGGGTAGTTCAAGCCTGGGTTCGGCCATGTCTTTCCGGGAGCGGACCTGTTTGCACCCCACACGGGTGAGACTTCACTCATTGCTGAACCCTCGGACACGGTCTCGGCCATGGGCGGCTTAGCCGCTTAGCTGGCTTCTACGATTTTAAATGTGGCATATGCCGGAACTGGGTTGCTTTTGAACATCACCCTCCCGCGCAAGAAGCCACCCAAATGATATGTACACGTTGGCAACATGGCCCAACAGGATCATCCCCCGTGTGACAGCCCAAACAGTGACAGCGAAGTCAGCCGCTGGCGTTTGCTTTGCAATTCACTGGGCAATGGGATGACGGATTCTCTGCACAGCCACAAGACCTGGGACAAAGCCATGCCAATGGGCGAAATAAGCGGTCCTCAGAGCCGGGCCATGGTAGGTGTAGCGGGGGTCAACTTGACCATTGGAAAAAAGCAAGAAATTCAAAAAAGGTACCGGGCAGCTCTCAAGAACAAAGGATTCTTCTCGGAAATCGCACTAACACCCATCCTCTACAAATACACAAATGTAGATAGAGAAAATATATATATATATATGTGTGTGTGTGTGTGTATGTAAATATTATATATATATGTGTGTGTGCGTGTGCGCATATGATTATGCACATAAACATCCGTGAGGCTAGATAGGTAGGTAGACAAACAGTTAGGCAGACACACAGGCAGACAAACAGAGAAACAGCCAGCCAGGCAGGCAGGCAGCAAATAGACAGAGCGACAAACAGCCAGATACACAAACAAATATATATATATATATAATTATATATATATACAATTATATATATAATTATATATATATACAATTATATATATATAATTATATATATATATTTATATATAATTTTATTTAATTATATATGTGTGAGTATATGTATATATAAATATATGAATGGGTGTTCCTGAGAGTCTCGCCTTTTAGCCCCTGAGAAAAACTGGCCCTTATATCTAAGGATTGCAGTTTGACCTTTAGAGGGTTTCATCATTTCAGAATAGTCTAACTCTCTTTTGGCAGATTTGATATGGTTTGACAAGAGTTTCCTGTTAGAATCCGAAGGTATTTCAGGCTGAAAAATTAATCACAGAACTTGTCAAGCCAGATCAGGCTGTGCTCATGGGCTGCTACTGCATGAAGCAGTTGCGCAAAGTGTGCATGTATCAAACCCTCTCCTCGTATGACAAGTTTTTCATGGCACGATATTTACGTTTATCATGGCATGATAGGCTGACCTCCAAATGATAAGCTGCACGACCAGCTTTATGGAATGATGAGTTCCTGATCACGAAGCCCAGGGTGATCACTGGTATGGTAGGCCGTGGCATGACAGGCAAACAACCTAAGGGTTCTCTTTTGGTGAGGGTAGTGGGTGGCCATGACAAGTAGTATATACCAGTAGTACCGCACAAGGCGGCGGCAGAAGTTTCAAAGACAGGAAACCTATAGGAGTGGTTGGTTGTTGTGAATCATGGATGGCAGAGGGAGCCCGCTGATGGATCGAAAGGTGGTTGGAGTGTCGGGTTATCTATCAATCTTTCCTTCTTTCTATCTGCCTGTCTATCTATCTATCTGTCTGTCTATCTGGCGATCTAATCTATCTATCTATCTATCTATCTATCTATCTATCTATCTATCTATCTATCTATGAATCTGCCTGTCTATCTGTCTATCTATCTGTCTTTCTATCTGTCTATCTTTCTACCTATCTGCCTATCTATCTGTCTCTCTATCTGTTTTTCTATCTATCTGTCTATCTATTTGTCCATCTTTCTGTCTTTCTATCTATCTACCTTGTCTGATCTAATCTTATCTAATCATATCTGATCTAATCTTATCTTATCTCATCTAATCTAACCTTATCTATCAATCTATCTATCAAAAACGAAGCCATTCTGCGAGACTTCCTCAATTTTAGAAGTTGACAGTTGACAACATCAAAAACGAAGCAATTCTGCGAGACTTCCGCAAGTTTTGAACTTCACAGCGACGCAATTCTGCGAGACGTCCTTGTCAAAAGCGAAGCAAGCCTGCGAGACGTCCACAATTTTCGACATCGAAGTTGACCGCATCAAAAACGAAGCAATTCTGAAAGACTTCCTCAATTTTTCGAAGTTGACACCTTCAAAAACGAAGCACTTCTGCGAGATTTCCTTCAAAAATGGAAAGTTGAGCTGACGGCCTCGTACCAATGCGTTTTCCGATTTTTCGACTCCAAGTACTGCGCCTGCCACGAAAAGATGAAGCCAGGTCATACAAAGTGCTGCACTTGTCACGCAAAATCATCTTAGCAAACCTGATGATCTGATGCTCCAAAATGCAACCCTTCTCAGGAAATCAGCGCCCTGACCTCCTAACATCTCTGATGAACCTGTCTCTTGTACCGCACCTGCCACGCGAAATGCATCTTTGATCATCTTTGCAGATCCTTTTCAAACGTCCCACTCCTGCCATCGTTTTTGCAACTGCCGCAAAACCCACGCGTTTGACGCACTTTTGACAACGTGCAGAATCCATTGCGCCTGCCACGCGGAACTGCATCCTAACCTCAAAAAATTGCTCTGGGACCGCCAATATTTAAAATGCTTCGCGCGACGACGACGTGCATTTTTTCGACGTCTCAACTTCCAAAAGTGGTCCGAAGCTGGTGTGCCTTGTACATTTTGACTTCGAAATGTGGTTGGCGCCACAACACAGCGCGCACTTCTTCGACATCGCAACTTCGAAAAGTGCTCCAAACATGATGTGCTCCATGCATTCTGCCTTCCAAATGTGCTTCGCGCCACAACGGCGTCCCATCTCTGCTTTTCATCTGTCCATATGTCGGAAGTTTGACTTCCAAACTTCCTTCGATTAGTATATGTGAGCATTTTGCATGTCTGGCATCGCAGTCTTGGCACAGCTTCGAACGGAGTGACAAACACGAAGCCGTAATTGCTTTTTGAAAGTTGAGAAATTGCCTGATCCCTTGAGACACCTTCAGATCTTAGATAAAAATCTGAAAATTACCTGCAGTTGTCGTAGTTTGCATATAGTTGGGGGTAATATATGCCCCTGCGCATATCACTTTACCCAGTAAATAGGTATATAATCCTACCACATATTGATCACCCATGTTTAGCACCAATATATATATATTATATATATATATATGTGCCAAGTATGTGCTTGGTATATATTGCTCAGGACTCAGCACAGTATACGTCGGAATTTATATTGCTCCCCGGTACCAGTAGCAATGCGTGGGGGCAAGATGCAGTTTTTTGAGGCGTTTTTTTTCGGAGCGGTCTGGCTTTTCGGCAGTTGTTTGATTTCTTTCCCGGTTTGCGGTTCAGACAGAAATGTTCTCCCGTTATTGAGGGAGCTACAGGAAATCAGTAAAAAGGTAATTATAGGCGGGCAAACCTCTGTATATATGTCCGGTATATGCCCAACCCAACCTGACGGGTATATACCAGATATATACCAGGTACAGTATATATTACCACCCCCTAAGCCCTACCACCTGGGACAGAACCACCAAAGTTCTGGACTTATTTTAAATCTTGTAAGGGACTGGGTGACGGACAAAATTTGCCAGGTGAGGAGCGCAATTGGGCAAACACCCACTTTAAACTTTGGAAATTCTTTGTTTTGCAGGGCATGATACGGCCATACGGGTCAATAACCATGTGCACGCACATCGTAGTGAAATTGCGTGACTCCTGTTCTTTGACACGGAGACCGTGCCTCCCCGTCAACCTGTCTTTTGCTTCATACTGTAAGTTTTCTCTGAAGCAGCTCTGCCCGCTTTCCTACCATTTTGGCAACGTGCTCATCCCACATTGGCATGTCAGCATGCCCCCTCCCCCTACAGTTGTCGTATACATTGGAATCACTTAGAACAACACTACTTGGATATATAATCCTTTCCCCCTATTACTAAATGTCCCCCAAATACTAAAAACTAAGATCCCCTTTAGAAAACAATTTAAAAATAAAGCTAGCATTTGTGTGTTTCGCCCCCTAATAATAAAAATTAAAGGACCGGACAACCCCACAAGTCAACTTCTTCCAATATGAGCAACAAATGTTGCAGCGGGGACGGGGAAGGAAGGAAAAACAAAGGAGTAGGTGGAGGAAAGATGGTTTGTGACAAAGTTGTGTGTGTGTGAAAGATGGTGTGGTGAAAGATGGTGTGTGAAAGATGGTCTGTGACGTCTGTGTGAAAGATAGTGTGTGACGAAGTTGTGTGTGAAAGATGGTGTGTCAAAGATGGTGTGTGACAAAGTGGTGTGTGAAAGATTGTCTGTGACGGTGTGTGAAAGATGGTGTGTGACAAAGTGGTGTGAAAGATCGTGTGTCAAAGATGGTGTGTGAAAGATGGTGTGTGACAAAGTTGTGTGTGAAAGTTGTGTGTGAAAGAGAGGGTGTGACAAAGTTGTGTGTGAAAGATGGTGTGTGACAAAGTTGTGTGAAAGATGGTGTGTAAAAGATTGTGTGTGAAAGATGATGTGTGAAACATGGTGTGTCACAAAGTGGTGTGAAAGATGATGTGTGAAAGATGGTGTGTGACAAAGTGGTGTGACAAAGATGGTGTGTGAAAGATGGTGTGTGACAAAGTGGTGTGAAAGATGATGTGTGAAAGATGGTGTGTGACAAAGTGGTGTGACAAAGATGATGTGTGAAAGATGGTGTGTGACAAAGTGGTGTTTCAAAGATGGCGTGAGAGCCAGCCCAGTGCCATAAGTGCCACGCCTGCCACGCAAAGTGGAAGTCCATGTCGCCAAGTGCCACGCCTGCCATGCAAAGCGACGCTCGATGTCGCCAAGTGCCACGCCTGCCACGCAAACAGCGGCGGCGTCCACGGCGCCAAATCCAACCCAAGCGCGCCACCAGAGCCAGCCCAGTGCCATAAGTGCCACGCCTGCCACGCAAAGTGGAGGTCCATGTCGCCAAGCGCCACGCCTGCCACGCAAAGCGACGCTCGATGTCGCCAAGTGCCACGCTTGCCACGCAAACAGCGGCAGCGTCCACGGCGCCAAATCCAACCCAAGCGCGCCACCAGAGCCAGCCCAGTGCCATAAGTGCCACGCCTGCCTGCCACGCAAAGTGGACCTCCTCCATGTCGCCAAGTGCCACGCCTGCCACGCAAAGCGACGCTCAATGTCGCCAAGTGCCACGCCTGCCACGCAAACAGGGGCGGCGTCCACGGCGCCAAATCCAACCCAAGCGCGCCACCAGAGCCAGCCTAGTGCCATAAGTGCCACGCCTGCCACGCAAAGTGGAAGTCCATGTCGCCAAGTGCCACGCCTGCCATGCAAAGCGACGCTCGATGTCGCCAAGTGCCACGCCTGCCACGCAAACAGCGACGGCGTCCACGGCGCCAAATCCAACCCAAGCGCGCCACCAGAGCCAGTCCAGTGCCATAAGTGCCATGAAGGTCCATGTCGCCAAGTGCAAGTTGTGTGTGGACAAGTTGTGTGAGAGCAAGTTGTGTGATGACAAGTTGTGTGTGAAGTTGTGTGTGGACAAGTTGTGTGTGTGAGCAAGTTGTGTGATGACAAGTTGTGTGTGGACAAGTTGTGTGTGGACAAGTTGTGCGTGGGCAAGTTGTATGCGACAAGTTGTGTGTGGACAAGTTGTGTGTGAGCCATGCTTGCCACGCAAAGTGACGCTCGATGTCGCCAAGTGCCACGCCTGCCACGCAAACAACAGCGGCGTCCACGGCGACAAATCCAACCCAAGCGCGCCACCAGAGCCAGTCCAGTGCCATAAGTGCCACGCCTGCCACGCAAAGTGGAGGTCCATGTCGCCAAGTGCCACGCCTGCCACGCAAAGCGACGCTCGATGTCGCCAAGTGCCACGCCTGCCCCGCAAACAGTGGCGGCGTCCACGGCGCCAAATCCAACCCAATGCCATAAGTGCCACGCCTGCCACGCAAAGTGGAAGTCCATGTCGCCAAGTGCCACGCCTGCCACGCAAAGCGACGCTCGATGTCGCCAAGTGCCACGCCTGCCACGCAAACAGCGGCGGCGTCCACGGTGCCAAATCCAACCCAAGCACGCCACCAGAGCCAGTCCAGTGCCATAAGTGCCACGCCTGCCACGCAAAGTGAAGGTCCATGTCGCCAACTGCAAGTTGTGTGCGGACAATGTGTGAGCAAGCGGTGCGTGGACAAGTTGTATGTGACAAGTTGTGTGTGAGCAAGTTGTGTGTGAGCAAGTTGTGTGATGACAAGCTGTGTGTGGACAAGTTGTGTGTGGACAAGTTGTGCGTGGACAAGTTGTATATGACAAGTTGTGTGTGGACAAGTTGTGTGTGAGCCATGCTTGCCACGCAAAGTGACGCTCGATGTCGCCAAGTGCCACGCCTGCCACGCAAACAACAGCGGCGTCCACGGCGCCAAATCCAACCCAAGCGCGCCACCAGAGCCAGTCCAGTGCCATAAGTCATAAGTGCCACGCCTGCCACGCAAAGTGAAGGTCCATGACGCCAAGTGCCACGCCTGCCACGCAAAGCGACGCTCGATGTCGCCAAGTGCCACGCCTGCCACACAAACAGCGGCGGCGTCCACGGCGCCAAATCCAACACAAGCGCGCCACCAGAGCCAGTCCAGTGCCATAAGTGCCACGCCTGCCACGCAAAGTGGAAGTCCATGTCGCCAAGTGCCACGCCTGCCACGCAAAGCGACGCTCGATGTCGCCAAGTGCCGCGCCTGCCACGCAAACAGCGACGGCGTCCACGGCGCCCAATCCAACCCAAGCGCGCCACCAGAGCCAGTCCAGTGCCATAAGTGCCACGCCTGCCACGCAAAGTGAAGGTCCATGTCGCCAAGTGCAAGTTGTGTGTGGACAAGTTGTGTGTGAGCAAGCGGTGTGAGGACATTGTGTGTGAGCAAGTTGTGTGTGGACAAGTTGTGTGAGGACAAGTTGTGTGAGGCCAAGTTGTGTGTGAGCAAGTTGTGTGAGAGCAAGTTGTGTGTGGACAAGTTGTGTGAGAGCAAGTTGTGTGTGAGCAAGTTGTGTGTGGACAAGTTGTGTGAGGACAATTTGTGTGTGTGAGCAAGTTGTGTGTGAGCAAGTTGTGTGTGGGAGGAGGGCGGGAGGAGGAGGCGGCGGGATACAGAAGCAGAAACAAGAACCCCACACAAAGATGTCGGGAACTAGTCAACCCCGGGGTGTTTATTATTAGGGTCCGTCCGATTTTTTTTTATGCTAGGGCTTTTGATTTATTACTAGGGCCCGCTTCGAAAACCAATTTTTGGCAATATTTTAATTGCGTTACATACGGAAATTTAATTCATATTGAAATTGAACAAAATAGTTTTTTATTAAGGTTTTAAATTTATTAATAGGGTTCCCTAATTCTAAATACCACCCTAATAATAAAAAATACCGGATGTGTTTATTATTTGGGGGGGTTAGTATTAGGGGGAAGGGATTACTTGGATATGATTCAGGGATGATCTTCTAACGGCACTGTTCATTACTCAAGCAAAGTACACAAGAACATTATTGATTTTAAGGGTCTGACAAGTACCCTTAGCTGCCTTAGCTCAAAGCCCCAATCTTCCCAAGCCTGATTAGAAACGAGGATCGTGACCCTGACACCACGGTGTCTGGGTGATCATTTCGACTTGTAGCCCTGGCACCCCTAGGCCACTGCATCCGGTCACCCGCAGCTGTGCCATGACGTTGCTGGCCATGGGCCAAATGACTGCCCGGCTCACATTCTGCCCGTAGAATTCTGCCAAAGCTGCAGCATATCCTACAGGCTGGATAGGAACATGTTTAAACATTTTAAACCACACAAATTAACTGCTCAACCAGCAAGTTGCTGGGCAGGATTTGCCAACCACCTGCGAAACACCGCTGCCCTCAACTTTCTTGCGTGGCCCCAAACACGCAGAAAACAAAGACTTGCAGCATCTGTGTCACAAGTTGTGCCCCACCATGCAATTTTCATGACATGAATGCTTCCAAAAGCAGGAGGTTGCTATTGGAGGGAGCAAACATGTTGAGTCAACCAAGTAGCCGTCCCAGAATTCCTTCCAAACATCTCCAGTGGGCTGATCCTCACAGGGCTGTGTGGCCAAGATGTTCTGTGTTCGGACGGTGCAGGCATCGGAACATCCTTGCGATGGAACCTGTGCCAGGGAGTCCCACCATCCCAGCCCCCAGCATTTTCCAATCTGTCGAACATCCGACTGCAACACCGGAAGGAACCTTTGATATTGAGGTTTTCTTGTTGCTTTGCTCGACTGGAAAAATGGGACACCTTGTGACACATAATCTCCCAACTAAGAAAGCCACGCAGCAGCCAAAGAAAGGGCCTTGTGCCATGGCGAAGAAAAGGGATCAGTACAGCCACACGTGTCGCCACACATCAATCTGAGGAGCCGAGCATCGGGCCTCCAATTGCTGGAGAAGAAAGTCCCATATTCCACATGATACGGTAGGGACGAGAGTTTCCAAAAGATTTGGGCACATGGTAGCTCAATGCTTGCAGTACTGTCTAGTTACTATATAGTTTATGCTACTTTGTGCGCAAACAAAACATAACAAAACATGGTGAACATCCTGAGGCCAAGGCTGACTGGGTTTTCCACTACCATTTCCCAAGGTTTGAAGAACATGTTCCTTTCCATCTTTCGTGACTCCACAAGGCTTGTCACCAGCGCCTGCTGCAGAGCTGAGTGATGTTCTCACAAGAAGTGCCAGGAGGATGGCCCAAAACAACCAGAGCGGATCTCATGCGAGCGTGGATGATGGGCTCAATGACCAGGTCACCATAGAAGGGAGCGCCCGGTCTCAGCGCGTCCTGTCCAGCTGGCTACGAGTTCATTTTTACCACTGCGGATAACGGGGTGTTGATGGATGACAATTAGGGTATTCCCCCTGGGAATGAAGTGCCCAAGCCGGACTGCTTGATTGTATCGCACCCAAACCAGGTCCCCTTCCAGCATCCAATGATCCATCCAAAGACCCAAGTCTCCGTCTCGATGCAGAAGGGCGCTCTCTCAGCTGCCCCGCTCATGTCTTCATCGATGTCAGCGTTGAACAATGTCCGCGAGGCGGAAAAGAAGATGTATTCAGGCGGGCCATCTTCCTGCCGCAGATGATGGGGAACCTCTGAAAACCAAACATGGCAACAGGAAAGGCAGCTTTTAAATGCAACAAAGGAATAGAGTGATATATAGCGTATCCATACATATATATATATATACATAGCCAAACCACATCTACATCCACAAATACATATATATATATATTAACACATACACATACACATAAGACATACATATAAATGACATACACATGTGCATATGCATGCTCATACATATACATCTACGCACACATGTACAAACACAAATGCATGTGCATGTATGCATGCATGTTTTGAGTTTTTTAAATATACATAGGTGTCTATGTGTGTGTGTGTGCGTCTATGTGTGCGTGTGTGTCTATGTGTCTGTGTGTGTGTGCGCGTCTATGTCTGTATTTTGTGTGTTTATGTGTGTGTGTTTAGTGTGCATGTGTATGCATACATATATATATATAGATAGATAGATAGATAGATAGATATGGGCACATGTATGTATATGATTGTATATGTACAAGTATATGCATATGTATGTGCATGCGTATGTGTCTACAGTCTGTCTATGTATATCTGCATGTATATTTATGTGTATGTGCATGTGCAAATGTATTATGTATGTGTTTATGTATGTGTTTATGGGGTTGAACGGTTGTGTATATTGTCCACATACGCATGTATACCTACAAATGTGTCCCTATGTGTATGTGTTTAATTATTAATTTATGTATGCACATATTTATTACAATATACGTGTTGGTATGTGCTGTTCTATTGTGTTTTTGTAATATGAATCTATACATGTATGTGTTCATATGTATGTATATATATATATATCATGTGTGTGTCTATGTATACGTATACATGCATTTGCATGCATATGTCAGCTTGTAAAATTAGATAGGTATTCATTAACCTATGCAATCAAAACAGTGCCACTATTTTATCATGATAGACATAATGTGTATATATATATATATGTGCGTGTGTGTGGAGTTTACTTCATACATATATATATATATGTGTGTGTGTGTGTATGTGTATATATATTTATATAGTTGTATGTGCGTGTATATATATATATGTATACTTATATGTATGTATGTGTGTGTGTGCATATGCAGGTGTTTGTGATTGTGTGTAAATGCCCGAACTGCCACCTAGGTATATAATGAAACAAAATTGCTGAACCCAGGCATCCTGGAACTTGTGCCGATCCACGGCGATTTCAATCAGAGTAGGCTCCTGACATTGAGTCTCGGTCACGTGGAACGGGTATTACCTCCTTTCTCAATCCTTTCACTAGATGATTGATGCATACCATCTCGCAAGCTATCATATCTATGAGTATCTGTTCCCTCATGAGATGCATTCGAGTACCTGTCTCCTCCCTCTTTCTCCTTTGGTCTGCATCTTCTTCCGTTCATCTGTCCGTCGTTGGCAATCTTATGCTTGCCTTTTGTATCCTTTTGTGATATGCGTTTTCGATCTCGAAAGTCGCAACAACTTGAGAAGCATGTCTTTTCTGACCCGGATTCTGATTTGAGTGCCCACGTCTCCTGCTGTCCAAATGTTGAGAATCTAGTTGCGGAAACTAAAATGCCCAACATATATTTGATCTTGTCTCCTACCAAACTGCAGCACACCCACAGCTTCTTTAACATCCCACCATTTGCAAGGCTCAGGAATGTCTCCTGGTCGTTTCGAGCTTCTTGGGTCCTGTAACCAACAATCTGCTGACTCTCTGGATTGTTGGCCACCACAAAGGTTTGGTTCCCGCCACACATCTCCCATTTGATGCTGATCATGCCAGCTGAGAGGGGCTCCAAATATACCAGGTATGGGACCAGCATCGTCGCGCCCAGCAGCAGGAAGAGTCCAAAAGATTCGCGTTGACCTCCCAGGGTCAATGAAAATGTGAAGATTTTTCGCTCCCAATGGATTCCCCATGTTTGAACCATATGCATCCATATGCCGCATATGCACATGTGGGGATACATCAATCATTGCCTATAGATGTGACCCAACAAGATGAGAAACTTGCGTGCATGCATTGAACCTAGCGCAGTGTAGAGAGATCAATCGCCTAACCTATAAGATCCTATAACCACCCTCAGAACTGCAGCAGAGTTGTAAGCACATGTGACTGAACTTGACTGAACAATAGCCCATGCAGACGTAGCAAAGAAGGAAGATCCGAGAGTTGGGGGGCAACACCTAGGCAGGTGCCGGAGGAGAACCATATCAAGTCCGAGAGAGCGGAGGACATGGAACGCACCATCCTCGGCTGCGCCCATCCTCAGAAGGGATCACCCAGTACAATGAGTGGAGGATGCAGTTCTATGATGTTCTATCACTCCGGCGAGGACATCTACTAGGAGGATGATTAGCCGACCTCAAAGAGGAGTGGACAGTGGGATGGCTACACAGGTTCTACCGCAACAAACGGTGGTATACATTAGATTTTCCGAAACGAGCGGATCAGGAGAAACAAGCCGATGCAAAACAGCGTCGGTTTTTAGCTCAGCATGTTTTTCGTGAAGTCAAACAAGCTCGAAACTCTATCCAAAAACTATCAAGGAGGAGCACACGTGACTGAGTAATAGCACAGCAGGGTGGACGCGTTCACCCTTTTCAAAGAACTCATCAAAAGGGGCCAGGATGGGCCAGGAGATGTTCGTGTTTGATGGATATCTTTGGCTCAAGACAGCTTGCCCAAGAAGGAAAAAGAGGTGAGAATAGGGCTGCCCCCTCCGAGCATGCTAACCCACTGACGAGGTAAGAAACTTCCCCAAATATCCTTTCTGCTCGTTGCGTGCTCTGTCAAAGTAGTCAAATGAATTCAAATCCGGGTCGCTCCGAGATCTGCTGTACTTCATCTTGATGGGCTCCAGCCTTCCTGGTTGCTTGAACTCCAAAATACATAGGTCTTGGAAATCAAATAGAATAGAAAACAAGAACAATAGAAAGCGAGAAAAAATGTGCCTTCGGGTAAAAAGAATGAGAAAATTAAATCACCAACCAGTTTCTGACCGACTGTTGCACTGACACTGGAATGAAGCCGGCAAAAAGCAACTCGTCAACGTCCATGATACTGTTCCTGGACGCAGAAACAACCACAAACAACGACATTGCGGAAGGCGATAGGCACGTTCTGGACAATCATTGCTACGGACCACCATACGATCCATGTTCCTGGGATTTGCCTCTGCTTGCTTGGAATTGTTGCCACATCGATACCCATGCAACCACAAGACGCAGAACATGGCATTAAATATATATATGTGTGTTTGTATGTATATACATATATATGTGTGTGTGTGCGTGTGTGTGTGTGCGCGTTCATATTCAAATTCATATTCATGTAATATATATATATAATTATATATACATATATATAATTTATTGCAGATCTAGACATATCATATAAGATGATATAAGCATAGAATTTAATTCAGTTTATCATAGCTCACAGGTTGGGGATTGGTTGGGCAGGCTGCGACCGAGCGACAGGGCAACGGCGTTCAACATCAATTCCTTGGCAGGTGGCGATGGAGGGCCCGTAGCCTGCTAGAACCATTATCACACATCATTGCGGCTGGCCAACATTGCGAACTGTTTGGCCTGGTCGCTGTGATTGAAGTCGTTCGTCCCAACCAGTTGACCCCAGCAACCAGCATGATACTTGCGATGGCTATCCGCAGCACGAAGGACATAAGAACAATGACGAGGCGAGGCGTTGACAGACTGGCAAGTCTGTTCTCGATGATCGTGCTTCGCGAAGCTCTTGGAGTCATGATCACAGCTTCAAGAGCAAGCCAGACGCTACGAAATTCCTTGTAGACGCACAAACTCCAATGAAGGATGCAAAGTGAACCTTCAGAGCAGCACAAGTGACATCAAGTGACATGCTGCCTTCAAAATGCTCAACCCCAACGTCCTGGTGTAACGTGATACGGGGCACATCACCAGTTTACAGTCATTTATATCATGTGTGGATAATTATGCCAATGAAAAATGGTGTGTTCCATGACCATCTAAAATTCATTCAAATATGCATATAACTCATCTATGTGTATTTGTTTGGTTAGCTACATGTATTTGATTTTGCGTGTTTGCAAATTGCAGCTCCACCTTTTTAATCCTTTTGATCTATTATATACATATATATGTGTGTGTGTTTATATATATGTAAATGTTTGCTGGGGGCTCAACTTCTATCATCACAGCCAAGGGGCAGAAGAGAATTCCTGGCTGAAGAAAACCCGGCTCGAAGTCGGTGGGCCCCAAGCCTCCCAGAAGTGCAGGTGCATATCCCTAAAATTTTCAAAAACATCAGTTAGCAAATATACATCAGTCATCAAATACAAAACATGATATTCACCAAGATTTTTTGTGTTAAAATGTTTCTACACAATATTTGCTCTGGCGTAGTCTTTGTCAGTTATGTTTTCTTCGTGTAATTGACTGTAAAAGTCTTCTTTCTTTGGTAGTTTTGTTTCATCAAATTTATCCCATGAATTCATATAGTCGTATGGATATACACCCTTATCAGTCAGTAAATTCAAATCAGTTTTAGATTTAATGTATGGGTTGGTGCTTGTATATCTGAAACGAGCTTCCCAATCTTTAATCTTTTCGTTTCCCTCATATTTGTTTAATCTAACTAATTTATCCAATGACGCAGTTAAGAAAGCAAAACTATCTTTAAACTGACAGGCACCAAATGAAAAGGTTATGAATTTTTCGCTGTTTTGTGCTACTACCTCTATTCTGTTGTTTTGGTTTAGTTCTATGTTTAGTTCATTTGCTCTGGCAATGATTAAGTGAGCGTCATAGTTTTTAAGATTTTGAAAGAAGATAGGGATTTTGAAATATCTAAATGAATAATCCAAATTACATTTTACATGCGCTGCGCCTCTGTATTTGCCTGTGAAGTGGCAGTGGTCTTGGATTTTCGTATCATCAGGTTGAAATTTCTTATTACATATAGAGCAGTGGGTCGCGTTTCTAAATTCTGCCTTTTGTTCGTAAGTTAATTCATTGGCATTGGCTTATTAACATTCATTTTTTCAAATATATATTTCTTAATTTCAGACAGTTGTTCTACAAACTTTTTCATACAATCCTCACCTCTGTATAAGTATGGTTGGCAAGTATTATCAATCCTGCTTACTACATTCAACATATAACCACATGGTTTATGTTCTTGGTAAGTTCCTCTGGGAGCATTGCTTCCAGAGCAACTTAGGGCACCTTCGGTGCCGTAAGTTCTCTTTATTTCAGTATTAGAGTTAGTGGTTAGACATTCAAAGTCACCATAGATTACAAAAGGACAAGGCCATTTAGTATTATGCTTTTCAAATTCTATATAACCCTGCAGCTTGCAGGCGGAAGGCATACCCAAACTCTGAGGAGATGAGGACGATGCTCGACAGCTTGTCTTGCTTTGTCCATTTTGTTATCGCGGCTAAAGCTGACTTGGCTTCGCGCCTCTCCCCAAGATCCTGTCCATTTGTCAACCCGGGTAGTGCAAGGTTTGCCTCGTCGACCACAATTGCAGGTTTTTTGGATGTTTTGCACACCATCTGTAGAAATTCATCCAGTGCCTTTTCCCTTTTACTACATTAACTACATCCCTTACATAATTGGAGATGGGAGCCGCTGCAGGACCGAAGCCTTCAAAAGCCACCGCAGCTGCAGACAAAATCGCCGAAAGTGTAGGAATTAATGGTTTGAACTCTTCTTCAGTGGTCATCTTCTCCAAGGTCCTGTTAGCAACTTGTAGCAACATATCCAGCAAACTTGCTCCCGGGTTGTTTCTCATGTCCTCCGAAAGGACCACCACGTTCGAGCAACACCTTTGCAGCGCAGCTTTTTTGAGAAATGATTTTCCCAAATTCTTGCCCCCCAAGACCAAGGTCAGCAATCCTGTCTTTTCCATTGACCGTATCACATTCTGTATTGCAGCGTCTCTGTCAACAACTTTGCTGGACTTCATGTGACTGTCTGCAAGCGCAACAATGCTCTCCACATAGGTCTGGGCATCAGTCTTGCTCCTACTGGCGGCGTTTTGCACCGCGACCCAAAAACTGTTTGTTTTGCCCGCGTCAACACCAGGAGGTAGACCACGTAGCTTCACTGAACGCGGTGGATTTCTTGTTGTCCCTGTTGTCAAAAAGCATCCAACTCCACTTGCCCAAAGGACACATGCAAGGGCACCACGCCATTTACGTGAGCCGGACATTTCATGAAATGTAGTCAAGAGTATTCAAATAACTTGAAAAGGTTCATCAAATTGCAACAAATCATGTGAAAGGTTGACCATGCAAAATCTCTGAGCGTCTTTACACATCTCTGTGCGCGTATCAGGAACTAAGGTTGATATTACTCACTGCGTTCATACCACTGATAGTTTGAGCACTAAGTTCCGTGACTAGAATGAAGTTTAAGGAGAAGCAAAATCCAGCAATTCCTGTGCAAGTGTGCCCGAAAAACAGTGAGCATTGCAATGTCCAAAATTTGCAGTTGTCCGCGAAGAAATTCCTTCACGTGCAGTGGCTTGAAGAGAAAGGACGACACAGAATTAAATCATTCCGTGTCACTTCGTTGATGTCATCATTCAAGAATCGCTTCCCGACATGGTGAAACAATATCACCTTTCATCACTCCGGTCAGCTCCCCACCTAGAAAGCTGTTGATTTGGTCGATGAGTTCGGCCTGGTTTGTGACATAGCTGACGTGGCTCTGAAATAGCGTGCCATTTCTGGACCCACCAAATCTGTCACTGTTTGTTTTATGTGTTGACTCTGTTGACATCTTTAAATTGTGTTCAGCGTCTCTAAAGAATATAAAGAATGGGGGCCGGTAATTGAATCATACCTCCTTAAATAAACGCATCTACAACCCACTTCAGCATTACTGATAAGGAGGCTTCCTAAAATGGGAGTACCCAAAATGGATTGTTTATAATGGGAAAAAAATCGAGGATGTGGGGGTACCCCCATTCTAAGAAACCTCCATATGCTTGGAGCTTTGAAATTCTTTGAAATATTAGGTCGTCCCCTTACCCCACCTGCGGCGTCGATAAAATCAGGGCGCCATCGCTCTGGCAAACGCGCGTGGCCAGGCTGGTTTCCGAGAGGTCCATATATCTCCAGTCGTGTGCTATGCTGACCCTCCACCTCCGCGCATTTTCCCTTTCCTCCTCCACCTGCACTCCAGCACCCGCAAAGTTGTCGGACAGCAGAATGCCTGAAAACATAGCCTGCATACCCAAGTTCACCAAGAGGAGCAGCATTGCAAAGATACTATCCCACAATGGAAATCTTTGAAAGTCTAAGACCAAAGGAAGGCTCCAAACACTCTCACCAAATCGGATCTTGTCCTTGGTTGCTCAACTGACCATCATCAGCATTGGCATGATCACCATCAGCAGCAGCAGCATCATCATCATCATCATGATCATCATCATCATCATCATCATCATCATCATGATCACTACCATTCGCAAAGAAAAAAGGCTCTGGCAAGCTGTTGCGACCATGAAAGCTGGGACTCAAGAGCGCGCCAAGTATCGGACGTCTGCTCTGGGTCCTCAACGGATTTTTGGCACGTGGCACCCTTCCATTTTACGAGGGAATCCTTTTCTGCTTGGTGGTGTCAACTTCTCCCAAGACATTCCCAAGACTATGCGTACTACTTGTTCCCCGATCTCACCCACTGGTAGTTGGTATACCTTGTGCGACAAATCCAACTTTCCGCCCAGCAGGTGTCCTCAACTGTGGCGTCAGAGGCCGGAACCTCGTCGCCCAGAATGGCTCCCCGGATTTTCAACTCGTTGTGGAGCACCGGTGTCTCAGGTACAGTTGTCTCAGGCACCTGCGAATGAATCCCAAGGGCTACCAGACTACATCAACAAGAATCAATTTGCACTGCAAACACCATTTTATCCGGTACATATCCTGCATCTGGGTTGGTTCATATCACCCTTTTTTGGCAGGTTGATACCTCGCATGAGTGCAAAGCCCACTTCTTTTGCACTTCATGTCGGCTGGTCAACCAAGACGGAGCCACCAACAAGTGATCTCTATATGCAAACACATGAACAAATGATAACAAATGTATAGATAGCATTCCTACTTAGAGTGGGCGCCCATCCCATCCACATCACGGGGAAGGGTTGCGCAAAGCCACCGAGCGGAGCTGCATCTCCAGTTGCTCCATCCGCTTCTCCAGGCGGCAAATGGCCTTGTAAAGGGAGAGCCCATCTGGTTCCGCGACGCAAAACCACCTGGTTCCCAAAGTTCCCAAAGTTCCTGTCTACGTCAACTTTCTTGACACATCTTTACGTCGCCATTTTCTCCTGACACCACTTTCTTTTGACATGGTTTTGCCTTCGCATCTCTTTTCTTGGCGCCCCCTTCTCGTGCCACAACTTTTGTTTGAAATATTTTTCTCTTGACATATCTTTCCCTTGGTAATTTTGAACCTTGACATCTCATTCAATGACATATCTTTTTCTTATGATATCTTTCTCTTGGCATCACTTTCTGTTGACAGCTCTGACACTTGACATCTCTTTCTGTTGGCATGTCTTTCTTTCGACATTTTTTTCTCGTGCTTGATGCCCAACCTTTGACACCTCTTCTCTTGACATCTCCTTTTCTTGCGATCTCCTTCGTTTCTCTCAAAATCCCTCTCTTGAAACCCCCTTTTTCTGCGGTCTCTTTAGCTGGCAACAGCTTCCTCTCGACATCTCTTTCTCTGGGCAACTCTTTATTTTGGCATCTCAAAGCGATGCATTCTATCTGGCATTTTTTCTGCCTTTCTATCTGACAGTAATTATTTGGCATTCTATCTGGCATTCTGTCCGAAAACTTATCTGGCATAGTGTTCGGTTCCGGCGGCCGCAAAGGAGCTCGGCGAGCGCTTTTCATTCGATTCCTAAAGCCTTCACAAGCCCTCGATGCAAGAATCTGTCTGAGCGAAACAATGACCGGATGGCAGACAATTCTCTTCACTTCTCTACTCTTCTCTGTTCTAGGCTCTTCCCTTCTCTTCATCGCTCTTCTCTACTCTCTTCACTTCTCTACATACTCTGTTCTTCAGTACTGCTTCTTAATTTTCATATCTCGCAAACTTCTCTTCTAACCTTCCTTGATGATTGTATCTATACATCTATATACATCTATATACATCTATATACATCTATATACATCTATATACATCTATATACATCTATATACATCTATATACATCTATATACATCTATATACAACTATATACATCTATATACATCTATATACAACTATATACATCTATATACATCTATATGCATCTATATACATCTATACATCTATGTATGTATGTGTATTTTCTAAACATGTTCCTTTACATTGTGCAGGTTTACATTTGTATTTAAAACATGAAATTACATGCAGAGTGCAAAGCAAATGTGTGCTGGTGACGGATGCTGATATATCGTCAAAACAAAGAAACGAAAGCAGGTACCAGGTACCTTCCTTTAATATCCTTTAATTCCATCTGGCCACATCAAACTAACGCGATATTGTGCCAACCTGCATGAAGATAAAAGGATGCAAAGTGCAAAGAGATACAAAGAGATACAAAGAGGACAGACATATTGTTGACCTGCAATTTCAACTCCAGTCAAGTTGCAGCATCAAACTCTGAGCGTGCAACAGGATCCTCCAGCACCAGGATGGGCTCTGCTCCTGCTTCCACCATAGGGGTCACATCGTTCACAATGCAGCAGCCCTCCATTG